GCTCACCCAGCATGGGCAGGGGAAGCAGCAGCTCTTGGTGGTTTTCTGGGTGATGAACAGCAAACCTGCAGGGGGAAGAACTGGATCCCATCATGTTCTGTGTGGGTGTTTCCAGTCCTTCCTTTTCCCTCCTTCCCTCATGGCTGCTCACCCCTGAGCCAGGGCTTTGTGTCAGGAAATGCAGGAACCACAGAAAAGGAAAAATGCAGATGATTTTGAAGAGTATTAAAAACCCAGCAGATGATCAAGGGGATTGAGATTTAACACTGCAGCTGGTGAGGCTGGAAGGGCTCCAGAGCTCAGGGCTCAGGCAAGCCCCAGGAAGTGAGTCCTGTCCCACTTTCCCCACAGGATAAGGGACACCAATGCACCCAGATGGGGACTGGGATGTCCAAGGTGCCTGTCCTGCACATTTCTCCAAATCTCACCTGCTTTTTGCCCACCCCAGACATTTCAGAGCTCAGCATGTGTTGCTCATCCCTGTCCTGGTCTGGGGCACTCAGAAAACTGAAAACATCAAATTAATAAAAATCTAGCAATTTCTTAGAACCCTCTCAGCCCTGTACAAGAGCAGATATTTGACCCAGAGCTGCCAATAAAACCCCTCAGGTTCCTCTCCCTCTTTCACAGGCAACAAAAAACTTGGAAGATCCTTTTAGACCTGGCAAAAATCTCTCTAGACCATGTTTAAAGCCTCCAGCATATCCCCAGGAGTTAAATTCCACCCTGGTTATGGGTAGCAATAAAAAACAAAAAAATAGGAAAAGCCTGATATTGGCCAGGCTGAGGTGCACAAAGCCTTTCCTGTGTCCTCTCTGCCAAAACCCAAAGTGTGTCACAAGTTGAACTCCCAGCTGAGGCTGCTGCTTCCAAAGGGAAGTGGAAGTGGTGCCAAGGAAGGCAGAACGTGCTGTTTGCACATTGCCCTGGCACAGCTGCCACCCCAGGGCAGGCAGAGGCAATAAAAAGTTTCATCAGAGAAAATGCAACACAGAAAAATATCTCTGTGTGTGTGCATGTGTGTGTTTCAAAAGCAGGATCCAGAATAATCCCAGTTTGGGCTGGGATGGATTGAGCTGGAGGGGCCCAGCACAGCCAGAGGAAGGGAATGGTTCTGGATTGAGCCAAATTTAAGGCAGTGGAGAGGCACTGTGGAGTAATTTTGCCCAAATGAAGAAAAATTCAAGAGAAAACTGTGGTTAAGATCACCCTGAAACTCCACTCATCCCTCACACCAGAGCAGTCTCTTCTGGACAGCCCCAGCTGCCCACAAACCCCAATTCCAGCCCCAAGGAAGTGCTGAACCCACAGGCACGACACCAAACCCTGCTGCAAGCCCTCCAGCCTGTCCCCTTCCTCTGTCCACATCCCAGAAATGAAGGATTTGCACCCTGCCAGTCAGGCTCCCACCTGCCAAGGGGGAACAGGGAGGGATGGGCAGGGGGACAGGGAGCAAATCCCAGATTTCTGCATCCCAGCCCTCAGTGAGAGGGGCCTGAATGAGCTGGAAGCACTGAACCCATGGCTGGAGGAAGGGAAAGCACTGACAGAAAGGGTGGGAGCTCAGGAGACCACAGAGTCCAACCCCCAGCTCCAGCAGGGTCAAGCAAATCTCTTGTGGAAAAAACACGAATTTCCAACGGGGTGGAGAGCAAAGTGTGAATTAATCAGGTGTGAGCCATTTCAGTGCTGTCTGAAGTCAATCTGCTGCCAAAAAAAACCCCAAAGCTCCAGATTCTGTGGGTTTGCTTTTCCTGCCTCAGGCTGCTCACCTTTAGCTCATGAACACCCACACAAACACAAAGCAAATGAATTTTGCTCCCTGCCTGTCCCACTCTGCACTCAGTGGTGGGCACATCTGGAACCCTGGCTCCTCAGAATTTTAGACTTTCCATGCTGCCAGGCACTGACCCCCAAGAGAACACTGCATTTCACCTGAGGCCGTGGAGAAAGCTTCCAAAATTGAATGATAGAACTGGAATTGTAAGTGTATAGTTTGAATAGAAGTGTTTAACGTCACATGGTAGAAAGTTTTAGAACATAGTAATATATATTTAAAAATTATATATATAATAAAGTAATATATATAAAGTTTGATAAGATAGAAGTTTTAGGGCAGAGACTGGTCCTCTTTCACCTTCTTCTTCATGAGTTTAGGTAGTATTGTGTAACTAGAAAAAAAGAATCTGCATTGCAGGCCATGAGTAATTAGTTATTAAGTTAAAAGTAAAAATAATTTAAGTGTCATTTCTTAATTAGACAGTTTATCCTTAAAAAGCCTCATAGAGAGAGAGCTGCAGCTCCATTTTTAGTTTGTTAGAATGAAGTGCTGTAGAACTCACAGTCTCACAGTAAGACTATGATATAGAAGGAACTAATAAACATCTAAGTCTAAACAAGAAATACCATCTCACATATTTAATCCCCACCTTAACAAAAAAAAAAAAAAACCAAAACAAAAAAAACCAAAAAAATACAACAAAAAATCCACAGGCACAGCCTCACACACAGCCCTGAGCTCCACCAAAGCTGCTCAGCTCAGCAGGAGGGATTTCCTGGATCTTCCTCAAAATTCCCTGTGCACATCTGGTCCAGCACATCCAGATCCATTCTCCTTGCCCAGCACCAGAGCACAGCCAGGCAGGAGCAGCAGCTCCTTCTCCTCCCATAAAGTAAAGCCTCTTCTAATAAAACTTCTCCAGCAGGGACTGCCAAAGAATCCTCAAGAAATGTGAATTTATGGGAAGAGAAAGCCCAGGTGTTTTCAAATATCAGATCAGGAATTCTGGCAGCTCGTTCCCCGTTCTCAGCACAAGAGCAGCCCTGAGCAGAGCCAAAGACACACAGCAGAGAAAAAAATAGTGAGGGAGACATATGAAATGAGAAAATTCAAAGTAATATCCACTTCTTAAATATTCAGGAAGTGCTGAGTGCTCAGTTTCTTCTCAGAACACACATTTACCTTTCTTGCACCCCCAGAGCCACTCAGTGCCACCTTCTCTGTTCCAAGATTAGGAGACTCCGTCTCCTGTGGTAGGGAATGGTTAATTAAGGGGATAATTAAGGGAATAAAAAGCAATGTGGGAGACTGGCAGATCTTCTGTGTGATATTCAGGACATTGGGAAATGGTGTCACATCAGCAAGGTGATATCTGCCCTCCATAAATCATTTCTGATCTGGGGGTTCTGACCCAGAAAAGATCAAACAACACAACTCAAACCTGTCCTCAGAGTAAATCCTCACCTGAATGTACAGGTTTAAAACTCATTTCTTGATGCAGTGCACATGCCACAAGCCCAGAGCCTGTCAAATGTTGTTCAGCACTGGATTTTTAGGGGAATTGTTGTTTACAAGCCAGGGGTGGATTTACAGAGGGCTAACAGCTGTTAACATCTGGAACTGATACTGACAGAAAGGTTCACTCCAGCAGCAAGTGAGGAGTTCCTGCATCCTGTACAGCACCCACACAGCTGCTGGCAAAAACCCAGCCCAGCAACAAACAAATTCCCAAGATGGAACACCCAACTTCAGGGATCTGTTGAGTTGTTCTTGTTGGCTGAAGGTATTTACAGTCTGCTTCCAGCTGCTTTTGATATGTTCAGAACAAATCTCAATAACTTCATTTTAGGAAAGGGCACGTCAAAATGCAAACACTTGCAGCCCAAGGCTGCAGCCTGTCAAACAACATCACGGGCTGCTGTGAATAAAAATGTTAATTTTAAAATTAATTGTGTGTCTTTCCATGCCATGATCCACTTATCTCTCGTTTTCTTTCCCTTTTGGAGAGAAAAATATACATTGAGGTATCACAAACCCATCAAGGGCTTTCCCCCTCCAACACTAAACAAAACCAGTCTAAATGTAACTTTAGTCTCCAGCCTTGGAAAGCATTTACTATATGATAAATGACCTTTAAGAGGCAACAAATATATTTTCCCAATAATTTTCTTTCCTTTCCAAACATCAAAGAAGCTTAAATACCACGGAAACAAATATGACAAATCCCCCAGACACTGGAATTTATCAGTCCCTTTCATACACTGCACAACTGAAGATCAGAAAGCACAAATTCTCTGCATAAAAACACAAAATAAACCCAGGACAGAGCGGAGGGGGGAAAAAAAAGTCAGATTTTGTGATTTGATCTCATCTGTAAGTCACAAAACTCCCAGGATGTACTTAAAATTTTATTTCTATTTCCAGTACATCATAATAATTATAAAAGAATGGTCTGCAGCCACAATTTAAACCAGTGGCTGACTTTGTGTGGATATTCACACACAAATGATTTATTATAATCACAAAGGCTTTCAACATGAAATACTTGATCCTGAAATCCTTCATCACACAAAAAAGCTCAGGAAATTCTGCTTCATCCAGGCCTGACTCTCATTTTTCCAAACCAGATCAAGAGCTCAGTGTTGCCTCATTTATTCCTCCATCATAGGAGTGCTTTGTCTGTGTGTGAATATTGCAATAAATGTTCAGAGGGCAAAGAGACACCTCAATATTCTGCTGTCTGGGCACTCACAGCTTTGATTTCACAGCTTCAACCCCCCCCAGCTCCCTGCTTTCAGTGCAATTTGCTGAATGTGGATCTCTTTTCTTCAGAAGGGACTATCAGACATCCTTGAGGCGCCCTCCCACAGATCCTCTCAATTCCATGATGCCAAGATTTGGGAGTGCCTGGCCAGGCCCCAAGGAGCTCCTGTACATCCCTGCCCATGTCCTGCTCTGCAAACACCCCAAAACTGGCTTTGCACTGCTCTGGGAGCCACTTGGGCAACTGCAAAGCTTCTGAAAGGAATTCTCATTGCAGCACTGCTGTGCTGATTCTGTGGGGAATGGAAAAACCCCCAAAGATGCTGAGCCCCAGCACTCCTCAGGCTGCTCCACTGCAAACCCTGGCACTGCCACCCCCTTTATGACCAAACACCCAAACAATAGAGTCCTTTTCCCTGCTTCCTTGTGAACAATTGGTTCCCTCATCACCTCCAAATCATAAAAATTTGAATATATTTTATAGTTATGTCCAATACAGGATTGAACTGGTATCAAACCCAGACTAACAGCAGCTGGTTCTCTTCTGGAAGTGCTGCCTCCTATGCCTGGTCACCTCTGTCTTCTGTTGCCATTGCTGAGTCCCTCTGCTGCTCCTCTGGATCCCCTGGCAGGATGCTGGTGACTGTCTGCAGGAGGGACTCGATCTGCTCCTCTGTCAGCCTCTCCTCACTTTCTTCCACCATCTGCAGGTCAAAAAAAAAAAAACCCATTGGCATCATGAAATCCACACTTCCTCCCTCAGGGAGAAGGACTCAGCTCAGCAGGGAAGACTTTGTCAAGACACAGCCTGAGCTCATCACAAAAGCATTTTACAAAGCAGAACTCTTGGAATATTTTGAGAAAAAATAAAAAGAAAGAAAGGACTCCATTGTTCACCACGACAATTGGCACTGTGTAATGAGATCCTGCTTTCCTTAGAGCAAGGAAAACACCACCCTGGGAACAGCCTGGCTTACCCTAAAGCCTCTCTCAGCCTCCACATCCTTGTCCTGAGCCAGGCTTTTCCTTTAGCTCAGATGCAGTCCCACTTTCCTGTCCTTCCAAGTTTCTGTGTTTTCATGGGATATCCTGAGAGGGATTCCCTGGACCTTGGCATCTCATCCAGTACCTGCACAAAATAATCAGCCCATAAAAGAAACCACCTCATCCTACAGGCAGCTGTACTCCACTGGAATTTGCTTGGATTGGGAGACTCCTGGATATAAAGACATTTAAAAGCTCTGAGCAACATCAAAAACATTGTCATGACTCAACTCCATGATTCCAGGAGATTAATTAGGGACCTACTCCCACTGTGGAGCTGTGGCAGCTTTTATATCACTGCTACCAGTAAAACAACTGCCCTAATTTATAGGCAGCTGTTAAAAGGAAAAAAAAGCTTGTCAGAAGACTGGAAAAGCAAGTCAGAACTCTTCAAAGACAAATGAAACCAATTAGGATTGTGGGGTTTGAGTTTTCTTTTTTTTACAGCAAGTCCTTGAAAATGGCCTTTGAAGAGGAGTGATTTATAGTAATGATGGTTCCAAGTCAATGCAGGTTTAATCAGCTCTAGCTGTAAACTGCCAGCTCTTCAGATGCCTTCTGAAAAGCAGAGTGGGACTTCAACTCATTTTTGCTTTTCTTCAGAGTCCTCTTTGCACAATCTGATCATCTTTCATCAGGATCATCCACAGATCTGCACACACAGAGAGAATCCACTCCTCAGCAAAAGGCAGACACTGAATTTCCATTTGTTAATGACTTTCTGGGGACTATCCCCATCAAAGGATGAAAATCCCTGTGGAGTGGCTTTCCAAGCTCAACAACTACTGTAGGACAGAGGCTTGAACAGCAGCCCTGGCTCTGCTTCCCAGCAGCTGCTCCTCTGCACATCCTGTGCTCAAACACACTCAAATCCTCCTGCCCTGGCTGGGAGAGCCCCTGGCAGCTGATTCCTGCCAGCAATTCCCAGGGAATCATCTCAGCACACCTTGGAGCATCAGCACCACACCACTAAGTGTGGAAGTGGAAGATGTCCCTGGAACTAAATGTTCTTTCAGGTCTCTCCCAGCCCAAACTATTCTGGATTGTGATTCCATGATCAAATCTGCTCCACCCACTCCTTGGTGCCAGTGCTGCTGACAAATCACTTCTCTCCAGATGACCTTTGCTGTTGAATCTCACACAGGATTATCAGGCTTTCAGACTGCATTATGGGGTTAATAATTTCTGTTACACTCCATTTTCAAGGTGGGGTAGGTGCTGTAGGAGCAGGAGCTGCACAAAGAACCAGCCCAGGTGCTTTGGACACCTGGATCACTCCAGGAAGGGTGACTGAACCAATGTCTCCCAGATTTGTTAGCATCCCTCAGAGAAACAGCACTTGGCCTTGTTTAGATTTGATTCATTGCATGCCATAAAGTCCAACCCCCTTCCCATTTTAATTTTATCTAGATCTGTATCTCCTCTCCCTTTTTTCCTCTCCACTTTCTCCTTTAGGGGCTTGCTCTGATGAAATCAGAACTCAAACAAAAACCAGGGATTTCTGATCAGCACTAGCTCTTGCCAACTCCTGATTTTAAGGCAGAACATGTGAATTCTAATCCCTGTTTTCTTCCCTGCTCCCCAGTGACTCCAGAGGAGTAATGCCCCAACTCCCAGTACGAACAACCCCTCTGATGTCATTTTTGTGCACAGCACGAGGCTGTCAGACTGCATGGACAGACACAGCAGCTCTGGGGTTGCTCTGGCAGCCCCAGAAATCCCAGCTGAGCACGAAGCTGATGGAAGAAAACCATCTCTGGTGTTTCAGATGCTCTGGTGCTCTAAGTGATGGCTCATTACAATGTTGGGAAAAGCATTTTTAGAGACACCAGACCCTGCACTGATGAGGGGATGGAGCTCCCAAATTCCCTTCTGCTGACAGATCCAGAGGGAAGTGGGAATTCCTTCAACTGCTGCAGCAAAATTCAAAAACTGGCAAAATTGGTGCCTCTCCAGCAGCTCCCAGGAATCACTAACAGACACAAATCAACATTTAGCAGGATGGACAGACAGCTTCTTAGTCAAGTTGATGCTTCAGCCTTATTTTGTTGTGGTATTATTTGAGATTTCAAAGGACCAAAAGCACAAACTGTGAAAATCAATTTTTTTCACTCTTTCAGGAAGTGAAAAAACAGCCTGAGATGATTTATGACAACATAAGCAGTGAGGAAGCAGCAAAGCAACAAGCCAAAAGGAAAAATTCAAAAATTAAGCCCAGCCAGCATGTAGATAAAGAGGCAAATGAAACTGTCCTAAAAGAAAACAGATCTCAGGGGAACAGGAGGTCACTCATTCTACATTCAGCAGATGTTCTCACAGCTGCAAGACAAAATACCTTTGATGCTGAGAGCACTAAGAAATATGGTGCTGAGAAGAGAAATGAGATGTAAGAAGCAGCCTAAGAGGCAAAAAACCCCAGCTGGATTCAGGTACCTCCTTTTCCAGCAGCAATTTTACCAATCTTGGAGAAAATCTCCAGCCAAAAGCCCTGCACTGGCTGGAACTGCTCAAGACCCAGACTGAGTCCATAAGCAGCCAGGAATGCAAAGTTTATAGTAAAGAAAACAAAAATGCAAATGTTTGAAGGGAGGGGATGAGCTCAGATGTTGATGTTGGCAGTGCCACCCAGCTCTAATGGGAACAGTTTCCCCTCTCAGGGGATGCCATGTGAAAAGTTTGGGGTATTTCTGACCAAAGCTGGGGTATTTCTGACCAAAGTGGCCTCAATATCTGCAGATTTGGGTGAGGAGCAGACGTGGGCAGTGTGACAGAAATGTCATTTCTGCATTAAAAGTCCCCTGATGTCATAAGTAATTGTCACTGCTGCTTTTCAGCATTCAAGGCTGTGCTGCTCCAAAATAACTCCAGGGGTTTAGGAAAAATTGCTGCAGCACATCAATGTCATTCACAACCACACCCAGTGTGTGTTACCTGTGAAATGTGGTTATTCACTCAGCTCAGGACTCACTAATCATTTCTGTTTCACCCAAATCACAGCAGTTTGTTACTCAATTTCCATTGCAATATATTCATAAAGTCAGCATTGCTCCCATTTAGTTTCCACAATGCTCTACATCTAATCAAAGAGGAAAACTTTACAAATTAATTGGCATAAAATTCTCCCAGCTCAAACAAAAAGCAGCACGCTCTCCCTGCAGCTCAAATTGAATTCTCAGAAATTCACAGCCAGCCCATGAAGATTAATCCCAGGGATTAAAGTGCTTACTCATAAATTAAGGGGTAAATCTATGTTCACAGTGCCACAGACAAATGGAAGCACAAAATCACTCAGGACTGTCTAAATTCCTTTTTTTACTCAGTGAAACAAGGACAAACATCCTTAATTCAAACCATACCTATCTTTTGTGCTTACCCAAATAAAAGCAGAATTTAAGAGACTTCATCCTCCTCCCTGTGCTGCTTTCAGTGCTAATGTTTATTTGGTTTAGTCTCCTGAGACATAACAATAAATCAAGAATGAAGAATAAATAAAGCCACACTGAAGAACCCCAAAAAGCCCTGAAAGAACTGAGAAATTCTCTCAGCATTTGGTCAACAAACCTCAGCATCAAAGAAGAACCTGTGGGTTAAAAGCTATTGTTCATTGGAATAATAAGCTAAGAATTAGATTTTAAAATAATCAGTAAAGTACAGTAATAAAGCAAATAGGGGCTCTGATCATTTCCAAAGCAATCAAGCACATAATTTACCTCCAAAGGGGGAGGGGAGATGTTTGATGAGAAAATCACTGTTATTTCCTCCTTTGAGCAGTGATTTGAAATTGCTCAGCACCACATCAATAGGAAAAAACACATTAAAAAAAAGAAATTAAGTAAAAGACTGAATGATTGAATTAATGTCCCTCGGAGATAATTAACCAAAAGCAAGGCAAAACACATTGTTGAGAAAATAAACTGTTTAAACCCCCTTAAGATCTTTGATTTTCCAAAATATTTTCCATTATTATTTCCCAGTATAAAAAACAATGTGCCAGCCTATAAGTATGAAATTCTCCAAGGTAGAAATACATTTTTAAAAAGCACAAAATTAAAATCTGTTTTTCCATTCACAGAGAAAAACATGGAAAAATTTGTTCCTTAAAAAAGATGATGCTTTATCCTCACCACTCTCATGGTGAGCTGAACATCCCTGACTTTTTATTTCCCCCTTTTGGGAATCACTGAGCCAGACCCTACATATGTTAAAGATTAAAACAGGAGGTCAAGACAGCTGCAATGTGTACAGTGTTTTACTCTGTGGGGTAAGAATTTGAATTTCATGCTCCTTTTGTTGCTATTGTTGTTGGAAAATAAATCCTGGCATAGAAGCTGGAAAAGGCAAAGATGGACAATGGCAGCAATTTATGCATTAAGGTTTACAAAAAATCAAAACATCACAGCAGGAATTTGCTTTTTAGCTGCAAAATAATTTTATCAAAATGGACTTCTTGTTTGCATACAGCTAAAAGGAAGGAATGTTGTAGAGGGAGAGTAAAAAACTAAGAAGCTGGAAAGGCAAAAAGCAGCAATAATTATAATGATAATGATAAATATCCTCTCCCATGAGCCTGCCAGGTAAATCAGACCCCATTCCATGATCAGGATGCACTGAGTAATAAAAGTTTGAGACATCAAAACTGAGCAAGTGAGAGCCAGCTTGGACTAGGCTGGCATTTTGTTTAAAGCTTTCTGAAAAATAAAATTGATGTGCCCCCATTCCAAGAACTGCTCAGAAGTTCTCCCCAGCATTTATTTCTGATCCAGGGCAAGTTCAGTGAAGGGAGAATCAAGGCTCCAGATTCAAGATCAAGGCTCTCAATCTAAAATCAAATTTTAGAGCAGAATTCACTTCTCAGCAGGCTGTGTCTCATCCAGCACTGCAGGGAATGGATTCTCCTGCAGGAACCTGTGCATGGGTGACCTCTGTGTGGTTTTATACCCAGAAAAGGCAGATTTTGTGTGTTCAGTGAATTGTGTAGCCTCTGTCCTCATCAAAACCAGGGTCCAAGCCAGCAACTGATCAGCAACACCATGTCCTTGCTTCTCCCAGCTCTGATGTCAGGAACACCAAGCTGCAGCTGCCCAGCAGCCCCTGAGCTCCAAAGGCTTTGATGGAGGCACTTTCAGTGTGTGCAGCTCTGGGGAGCACAGGGTTAACACCCCAGGACACTCACACACTGCAGTGCTGATTGTGGGGAAGGAAAAGTGCCCTGGGAATGCAGGGGAACCACGGTGGAAGAGGGAAAACTGCTCCCCAAAACTTCCAGGAAGATACAAATTGGCTAAGCCCCAGATGTACGGATATGAAATTTTCACAAGTTGATTCTGATCACTGGAGAAGGGTTTGGATCAATCATGAACTGACAACTCCAATCTTGTGGCTGAGTTCTCTAAGTTTCAACAATGAGTTTTTTTAGTTAACTTTGACACTCCAAAACTTGGAATATCTAAAATATTGGAATATCCAAAATATGGAATATCTAAAATATTCCAAATATTTATATCTAAAAATATTACTGTTATAATTATATAAAAATATAATTTAAATATAATTAATTATATATAAATATATCCCAAATATATATATCTAAAATAACTCTACAGAAAGGTGACTTCAAATAGAAAGGCCCAAAATTCTTATTTTCTTCAAACATGACATAGGAGAAAACTATTTTCAGTATTTTATATATTATATGTTATAGTATATATTATTTTATGTGCATTATTTTTATATTATTTATAGATTTATTACATTTTATTTTTATTTTATATATTTATTTATATTTAAATTTCTATATAAGCATGTATTTTTATGTATTATTTTATATATAATATTTTATGGGTAGGCAGAATAACAATAAAGCAGGTAGGACAGGAGAGAAGAGACAGACAAAGCCATGCAGTCACCCGAGAGCCCCAAAAGATGACTGCATTTAAAGAAGGGAAGGAAAGCCTGCAGATGGCAATAAAATAAATCTGTGGAAGCATATGAAGCTAACAAATGTGTGAGACAGGCTCCAATTGTGGTTTCTGACTAACTTAAAGCTCCTGCTTGGGCTGCTGATGGACACTGACCTCCCCAGCATTCATTCCTCAGCTGGAATCATCCTGAGATGCTCTCAGCATTTTCATCTCTGCTCCTTGGTGACAGAAGAAAAATGGTCCTGCTGGTCCCTCTTTAATCCTTCCCCTTTTTTTTGCAGCAAAATATGATCCTGTTCCTCCTCAGCTTGGCTCCAGGGGAAGATTGCAAACAGATGTTCTTAATGCAAGAGATCTTTATTGAAATAATATCCTGAGTGTAACAAGCTCTTTATTACCACAGGGGTTTGTACTCCTAAGGAGATGTTTGAGAGAACAGAAACATCTATTTCCATTTAGTGACAATGCCTCCTTACAGCTGAATTATTCTTACACTGACAATGGCTACTTTCCATCAGAAAGTTTATACCCATTTCTCATCCTACATTACTGCTTATTTCTTTTTAGAATTTTTTATTTTAGTGTAACAAAAAAACATTTAAAACATACCATTAAAAAAACAGGGAAGATGTAAAAAATATAGTATTTCATCACAGAGCTGCACAGTAAAAATATTAAATATATTCTTATTTGCAATACTTCCATAAATCTCATTTAATGACTGCACTGGGCATTTTAAATGTGCCACTGAAACAAGCAGAGGTGGAGAATCTGTCTGAGAGGGCTCTGAGAGGAAGCTGAGTGGATTTGAAGCTGTGGATGTAAAATGTGCATAAAATAAAGGGATACATTCAATCAGTGGCCCATGAGAAAGCAATTCTTCAATTGATCTCCAAGGTTAAAGCTGCTGCCAGCTCAGCTTTGAACAGGCCCAGGCATTGGTACTCACCAGCTGGATCTCCACTGCACTCACAGGCCTGTGGTTCAGCAGCTGCAGCTTTTCTGCCCTGGTAAAAGCACAGTGAAGAAAATGCACATTACTGGGTGGTTTGAGGATCCCCTCAATGGCTGCAGTGATGCAAACACATTCCTGATAACTCGGGGATGAAATGTCACTGCCAGGAATGATCCTGGCTGGGTTTGCAGTGTGGCTGAAGGGCCATCATTTGGATATTTTAATGATTTGGGGACTTTCCTGTGTTCAGCCACACTGCTGTTGGCCTAAGGTGGCAAGCAGAGACCCTCAGATCATTACTGTGCAAGCATTAATTAACTGCTGCTTTGTTAAAGCTCTGCAGAAATGTTAAACAACTCTGCAGACATCCAAAACTTCTGCCATGAACACACAACCACAAGAACAATTTAGAACAATTTTCATACCCAAGGAGTTACAGTCCCATCAAACGGCAGCAACTTGTTTATTCGTTTAGCTCATTGCAAATCCAAAGTTCCAGCAGGGAACTACAATTTGGAAAAACTAAATCTTGGCATTTATTACCTTCTCCAAGGTAAAAATACATTTTTGAAAAACACATAATTAAAATCTGCTTTTCCATTCAGAGAGAAAAACGTGGAGCAATCTGTTCCTTAAAAAAGATGATGCTTCATCTTCAGCATTAAGTAAAGCTGAACCATTCTCCCAGTGAGCCGAACATTCCTGACTTTTTATTACAGAGCATCTTTAAAGCATGTTTAAATGGATTCTGGAGGGTTTAAAGCATATTTAATCTGGTTCTGGAGGGTTTTCCCCTGGGAGATTTTAGAAAGGAAACCTCACAGCTTTTAAGAGAACACAGATCACTCCATGTTTACAGCCAACAATTTCGGTGTGTCTGGAAACCTCAGAGATATAATTTCATTTCAAAAGGCCTCTGCCACTGGCTGCTGGATGAGCCAGCTAAAATGTCCATTTTTATCATCCCTTTCAGCTTCAGAAGAAAAGCTTGTGAATTTTCAATCCAGCATTTGTGAGATATTAACAATCCCTAACAGAAAGCTCCAGAAAAATCCTCCTATTTGTTTATTTATTATTAGTTTCCTTTGCTTTTGGAGAGCCAAAATATGTTTCCACTGGTGATGGGAAGCAGGGACTCCACCTCCTTTGTTTTCTCATGTTCATCACTCAAATCCATTTGGTGTTTCCAACATGAGGCTATGGAGAGCATGGCTGGATTTTGCTCTGAACTCAGAGCACCTTACAGGCAGAAAGATGAGGTGTTTGTTTATGCTGCCACCTCCCACAGTCATAAAAACCAGGAATAAAACCCCAATAATGACAGGAGATGAGCACTCAAATCCTTTACGTGGAAAGCAGGTGATTCAAGGAATCAATGAGAGATAAAACTCACTTGTGTAAAAGCAAAGCTAAAGGCAGCACTGCCATGCAGAGCTGGGAAAGAATATTAAATAACACCTTTATTCTATAAAATCTTGGCCAATTCAGCTGGATTTTTGAAAGATTTTTCCTCCAGTGCTGGCAATTCCCTGCTTTGGTGCCTGATGGAGGCAGAGCTGGTGCTTTCAGTGCTCTTTGCTTTGCTCCCTGGCCACACAAATGTTGGTGCTCAGTTTCCAGAGCTCTTCAACAGCTCCTCTGAGGATCCTCCCTGTAAAAATCTCCCTCTCCCTCCTCCCCCAGCCCTGCTTACAAGGACAGACTGTGATGAATTCATATTTTACCCAAGTTTCTCTCACATGACACTTCAGAGCCTTCTCAAACAACTCTTTCTTCTCTTTTGCAGCAAGACACATCCCAATCCTCCAGCTCCACCACTCCTCCACACAAAGTATATTATTTGACTTTTATTAAATACATTTCCTCATCTTCTTCTTTTCAAAGTAATATCCTTGAAATATAAACTCCAGAGCCAAATAAAGAGGATCAAATAGCAAAAGCCATTTTATGCCTGAGCTGAAGAATGCAAACCTGATTTACCCAGAGCTATTTTCAAGCAGGTAGAGCTGTTTTTATCACAGGAAGATTACTGGCACAGCAGCAAGCACAAATAAATTAACACCAATTACACATGGTGACTAAAACAATCAATTAGTGCAACTGCTGATGTTTCCTGAAGAAATAGAGGGCACAACAAAAAAAAGTCACCTCTCCAAGAGCTTTGCTCATAAGCCATGAACAGCACTCCAACTCATTAGGGATAGACAGAATTTTTACAAATTTTACAGCCAGGCCAAACAGATCCTAAAAGCACCATTTCAGGGTATTTGCAGTCTTTATAAATGTGTACAGAAGAATGAGAGAGACCTTACAGTGATTAACACATTCAGATGTGTCATCTGAAGGATTTCATGGCTGGTTTTGATCAGCAAAGCTCCCTACTGGAAAATGATGCAGAACAACACAAAGGAACAAGCAGCAGGGTGCAAAAAAAAAAAAAAAAAAAGCCCCAAAAGCTACAAAAGCTGCATAAATGCCATATTTCATCTAGAAATGCTTGTGCAGCATAAGCACTAATTAACACCCCAACATAATGATCTTTAGACATGGTAATATGTAATTATGAGGGAAGCAATGAAACAAACACTCCCAAAATGTCTCTAAAATGCATTTAATAAGAAACTGGATTGCTTAGTCCTCAGCAGCAGCAGAAGGCAGAGGTTTGAGCTGGAGGTCAGTGCCCACTGCCCCTTTTTAACACTGATCCCAAAAACTGACTGCTGGGACCAGGCTCTGAGTGTGAACCCACAAACTGACTGCTGGGGTCAGGCTCTCTGTGTACCTGGAATTTCCTGACAGCACTCACACAAATTAAAACCTGAATAACCAAAATTTCATCAAAGATTAGCTTTAAGTAAGGCAACCATGCATTAGGATCAGCCCTGATTGCAGTGTTTGGCTTGGGCACAGACCTAAGCCTGAGTTTATTTCATGCTTCATTAAATCCAAAAAGTAAAATTAACTTTTTCCAGCTCCCATGAATTCATCTTTACACTTCCTACAGCACTCGTGGCACGCTGATGCTCGTTAAATAAAAGGGGAACTGTCCCATTCATCCAAACAGAAGGTGAAGAAGATTTTCAGCCTCATTGCCCCCAAACTTCAGCATCTGCATTTTCCCTGCTCTGCCTGGATTTTAGTACCAGTTTGGAACACGAAAGCTGCTCACTCAAGAGGAGAATCCATACAAAAGATGAGTGACAGAGAAAGCAATTTTCTCACATAAAAGCAAGATCCCACTAACCAGAGTTAATGGGCCGTGCTGCAGACTTGCACAGGACCTGCCTGCTGAGAAATCCCAACATGGCAATTCCTGCTGAGCACACATCCTGCAGCCCTGGGGCTCAGCTGCAGCCAGGAGCAGCTTTTCCAGAATGGAAAAATGCTCTGGGGTGGGTTTGGGGACACACACAGAGCTCAGGCTCCAGGGGACAAAAAACCTGTGCAGTTATGGGGAGGAAAAGGGGTCTGAGGTGTGTGAGGGGGAGAGTGCTGGAGGAGGTGAAGATGTTGAGTTCCAACCTAAAAATCCTAAAAAACATTTCTACAGGACAAAAACCACCTCTGGGTCATGCTCAAGATCACAGACAGAGCAGACAGGACAATCCTACATTGATACATCCATTCTAAAAAATAATACAAATACTTCCATGCTCCTGTGGAAATTCAGACAAAATGCATCATTTTCTGTCAGCACTAAGCAAACTTTTGCAGTTTATATTTTAACCAAAATCTCCTCTGTGTGTTGGTATTGCCCTCTTTTTAAATCTGCTGAACTCCCAGAGTGTTTTTCCAGCAAGAGGTCTGGGTAAGGAGAGAACAGTGCCAAGATCCAGCACAGAGAGCTAAAAAAACCCTTCAAACATCTGTGCCTGAGCAGAAACAAATTTATCCTCAGGAATGGATGTTTGAGGGTTACTAGGAAAACCATGAAGTAACAGCTGGACACACAATCAGGGGTTTGATTCGTGCTGGAAATATAAATCCCATGATCTTCAATCAACCATGGCAACTTTTAATGCCTGAACCCTGAGCACAGGGTCTGGCTGAGGGAGAATTTCCCCAAAATGGGAAATCACAGCCCCAGTGGGTGCTGTGATTCTCCACAAGGATTCCCACTGGAAAAGCTGAGAATAATCTTTATAAATCTCTTAAATGATGCTGCTGTTCAATGACCATGATGCTGACTTGCTGCTGAATATTAATTCTGAAAGCTCTGGAGGAGGCAAAAATTACAAAGCAAATCCTTCAGCCTTTAATATTGCAGAGGTCTGTATCTGTTGTAGTTTTTGGCAGTCATGAGGGAAATATTTTCTAGAAGTACTGAAGATTTTCAGCTCAACACTTCCTCAACTGTGTTGACTTAAAGACAAAAAGAGCAATGTTCCTGACTATTTTTTAAAAAATTATAATAATATGCAGTGATTGGAAAGTTGGTTATCCCAAAATTAGATGCAAGATGGGCTATCAGTGGCAGGAAGAAGCACAAGTAGAGCCAGTTGTCATTGAACCACAATTACAGAGCTCCAGTTTAATAAATGTTCTTTTCATGCAATGCAATTCACTATACCTTACAAATATGAAGCCATTCCAGCACTAAGACTGGAAAATGAGCTGCTAGTGGCAAACTCTATTTCCAAGTACAACATGGCTCACTGAACTGGAGCTTCAGCCAAAGCCTGAGGCCTCAACAAGGTAATAATAAAATTCATTATGTGGGTTCAGAGCTGTAGTTTAAAAAAAAAATCTCAGTTCTACAGTTTGAATTTTACCAAAGTAGTGATTAAAAACTATGGGAAAAACTGTTTCACCACACCTTAACTGTATCAGTGAAATATCTGGCTTTGAATTTGCTCCATTTAGCAAGGCAGCTTTCTGAAAAGACTCAGGAATATTTGTTTGCACATGTTAGTGTTTTTAAAATCTTTAAAAATTATTTTAAAAATCTGCCTTTAGGAAGCCTTTTTTTTGTGTCTGTAACACTAATAAGACAAATCTATCACAAAATGGATGCTGGTCTGTTAACCTGGTTTTTTTGAGTGGCAAAAATCAGTGATAACAGAAGGATTTGAAGTAATTTTCCAGGAACTGCAGAATTTGCCAGAATTATGTTACCAGTTCTCTCACTGGAGCACAGACATCATGTGCAGCCTGACATCCTGCAGGGCTGAGGAAGGAAAAATAAGAATTCCCTTGATTCAAAGCTCTGCTGTGCTTCAATTCCTGGTGTTTCCCTGGCTGCTCTCTCTCCCCAGCTGGGGATTCTCCCATCCACGAGCACAGCCTAGTGCTGAGGGCAGCAATCACAGCCTGAGCACGGAATGGCACAGCCCAAGGCAGGGCTGCAAATCCTGGTCTTCAAAGTCCTGCTATTAGGAAATAGGCTAAGCCTAATTAAGAGCATAAAAACGCTGCTTAATTGTTTCCCCTCTGATTAAAGGTGGAGTCATGACAGGAATGTAAAGGGCAGAGAAGCAGTCTGGGGTGATGGGGTGTTGCTGACCCTTTAACCAGACTGAATTGTCTGAGGACAGACCCCAATTAACACAAATAAATCTCATCAGCCACTGCAGAGGGCTGTTAGCAGCACAGACAGTGTGTGAGCAGTTCAGAGAGCACATTTTGGGGTGCCTTACCCAGAAAGGAAGCAGCACAGAGAGTCTGGAGCTCATTACTCTTGGTGGGAGGAAAGGTCATTACAGGGATCACATAAGCAAGGTCCTGCCAGAGCAAACAGTGCAGGTCTTTCCTCTCCAAGGGAAGGAAGCTCTCTGCACACAGCTGGAATGAAATCCCTAAACACCACCTCCATCCCACAGAATGGAAACCATCAAAGCCTTTTTATTTAACAAGAGGAGCAGTGTTGAAATGACCTTGGTTAGGAAAGAAAGGTAGCTCCAAATTGCCTTGGAGGCACCAGTGCTTTAAGTGGTTTAATATAAAGTGCCCTAAAGGGTAATTGCATCCCTTGTGCTCTCTGTGGTTTGGGGTGAAGGGGCTGCCAGGTGAGCCCTGACAATGGAAAAGATGGAAAAGATGAGAAAAAAAGAAGTGCCAGGATCACACAAAACAGTTCTGGGTTTTATTCTGTAAAGCACGTGGCAGAGTTGGGAAGTTCTTTACCAGATAAAAGTTGTACAGGATGCTCACAGAACAAATCTGAATTCTGACAGTAAATTTGTCACCTACACCACTGGCTGGCTCTTCACTCTCATCCTGCTGCGACAAGGCACAAGAAATGATTTGGGAATAATTCCCTTGCTTCACTGCCTCAGGAAGAGCACACACAGGATGATACCTAACCCCAAAGGCACCTCAGAGCATCCATAAAAAATGAAACAGTCCAAAAGCTCATTTAAAGCTTGTAACTATTCCAACCTTTCCAGCTCACTGAACAAGCAGCTGTGGGAAGGTGAATATTTGGGTAGATCTTCTACAAAAGTGCTCAGCACTGTGGGAGACAGAGAATTTTCTCTGTCATAACTTAAAGACAGGAAGTTTCTCTGTCATAACTTAAATTGTTTTGTATTTCACCCTTGGAGATCCCATCCAGGGGAGCAGTTGCAGTGAAGGTACCTAAAGTGATAACACTAAGAGCTAATCCTCATGTCCTGGTCAAATTCTACCTGAAAAGTTTAGAAATGAGCTTTAAATAAAAATAAACACTTTGATTTTTAATGGGAGTTTTACAGAAACATCATTCAGTTTGTTTTACTCTGAAAAATCCTGCTCTGCTGGTTCTTCCTAAACTGCTGCCCTGCACTGACAGCAAAGCTGATTTCTGTTCAGAAAGGGCTGTTTTACACCACCAGAAGGGAAGGATGCTCACTACTACTCAAGAAATGTTTGGTGCCAATTTAAAGACCTCTCAGTGCTGTATCACCACCTCTATACACCTCTGGTATTTTTATTGCAGAGTATTTTCTTTTCTCCATGCTTCAACACCTCCAGAGAATGATTAGGATACATAAATGAGTATCCTGCTGGATAAAATGAGCTACAGAAGGGTTAAACACTGACTTACTGACCTGGCAAAGAAAGCACTCCAAGCACAATTCCAGGCCAGAATTCCCAAGGATCCCTTTGTGCATCCCTTTGTGCAGAGCTGCTGCTGGGCTGGATGTGCCTGTCTGTAGAGAGGGGGCACTGAAACTCTAACAAAAAGCTGCCAATCTGCTTTCCCTGCTCTGGACAGGCTAGAAACCTGCCCTGCAGCACTCCAGAGCTCTCCCTGTGCATTCTGTAGCACAGCCAAATTAATGAAAAGCCTCTTTCCCAGAGGATGAACTCCCTGGGAGTCCTCCCAGCAGGGAATAAAAACACACTCAGTGTGGGAAAAACTCCTCCTCTGAAGTGAAGGAGGAGTAATTTAGAAGCAGCTAAATATTGGTTTTTTTCTGCTTCAGAAGTCAGGAGTGATCAGAGCTATCCAAACAAGTGGCCAGCTGATTCCTCTTCTATTTACATCAGGCTTCACTCCCACTCTGCAGAGCTCCAAGAGGATTATGTGCCTCAAGAACAGGCACTCACAGAAGGGAAAAAAGCCCTTGGGAGTCTTGGAACTGCAAAGGAAATCTTTTCTCTTCCAAGCAGAACTTCCCAAAATAACAACTGGATGTTCAGCTTCACAAGAAACTGCTGGGGAGGAGGGAGGGGTTGGTTGATACAATATTTAAATAACTGAAGTGTAGATCTCAGAGATCCTGGACAAGCAGCACATAAAGATGGAAATACCCATAAGTGAAGGAAAATATGTCTGGCTGAGCATTTAAATAATGGCAGAAAATACTCAAAATCCATTCATCAGATCATCACACTGTCCACAGGGATCAGTTTTTCAGCATTAATTGAGTTTTTACTCCTTTTCAAATGCACAGCTCCACTTACTTGGTTAATTTATGGTCTTTCATTGCTACCAGGAACTCCCTGACAGTCTCAGGACTCTGGTACCTGCAGGGTGTTTTTGAAATGTACTTCAGTGTCTGCAAGAGACAGAAAGAAAATATGTATTATTTAATGCATATTTAATATTTGTTCAAGAACATATTTAATTACCAATTAATTAACTATTAATTAAACAATACTTGTTTTACCAGTTGTGTATGGAACAAGTACTCTGAAAAGTCTCCTCAGACCTGAGAAAAACAGGAAAATGAATTCAGGTTTGGAAATCAGCTCTATCTGAGCTGCTCAAAGCACAAAATTGCAAGTTGAAGAATACAGGAAAGGACTGAGCTTTAGCTCTGTCTTCTTACAAAAACCCTCTTGTGTTTGTGATTTGCTTGCTTTGCTCCTTGTTTGGATTTTGTCTTTAAAAGCACACAGGAAAGCTGAATTCATCCTTAAACCCAAGTTTTCATGTGCCCAGTGCCAGGAATATTCTCACTGCCAGCCCAGAAATCCCTCTTTAAGATGGGATTAAATCCCATCTTAAAGAGGGATTTCTCTAACCTACCCTTGTTTTTATCCTTTACCTGCATTTTTGGCAATTTAAAGTTGATAGAAGCAGATTACGTGGCTTGTGATGAAATCTACAAGGATATTTTGCTATTAAAAATTAATTGAGACAATTAAACTTTGATCAGTTTTTTCCATGTAACACCTACCAACCTTAACTGTGACAGCAAATGTTCCATTTATTTGCTTTATTTATAATAACAACACTGAGCAGGTGGATAATGGAATTACATTACACAAAGTAATCTAACCTGAGTAAAAAATTTGTTGATAAAAAACCCCATAAAAATTCCATGTCACAGCTGATTTTTCACTGGAAGTGACTTAAAATCTTCCCAAATATTTATTGTTGCTTGAATTAAACCCCAAAATGAAGAGTTGGAAATAATTATAATTTATTTTTCCTTTCTTTAAGCCCTGTCTGACATTTCCAGATAAAATGAAGCTGTTATTCACCACCAGTGATTGAAATGAAATTATTATATTGTCATGTCATGTAATTATTTCACAGGAGTAATTTCTCTTCCAGGTTTATTCTTTTTTGGCAATTTCAAATCAATGAAAAAGCCAAAAATACAGAAAAACAAAGCTCCTTTATGGAGTTACTTCAGTGCCAATGGAACCAAGTCTGCAGGGAGCTTGTGAAGAAATCCAAAGACACTCCTATAGAATCAAATTCTGCTTTTCTTTCAGTCAAACATAGAAAACACACCCAGAATTGACACCACTACTCCCCAGGCACCCTATAGGTATTGAACACATAGAATAACAAAACAATTCAAGATTTCAGGTGCATCCTGATCAAATTTACTTACAGGATCTTCCTCAGCTGTTTCCCAGAGGTGCAGGAAGAGACTGTCAGTCTCCATGAAGATTTAATTCCCATTTTTTGTAAGCCACTATTTTGTTGAATGCAAGGTTTAGGAATTACAACCTCTGTACCTTTTTCAAACAAAGCCAGAACTAAAACAAAACCAAAGCCTAGGCCAGATCTTATCCACATGAGTCGTTTCAGGGCTCAACAGAATTACTCATGCAAGCAAAGGCAAAGTGCTTTCAGCTGCCTGTCAGTCACGGTGCTGCTCATGCAATTCCCCAGCACACACACAATGGCTCCCACTGCAAGGCGCTGGGAAGTTGATAATTTATTTTAAATGTTAGTATTTGTATTGTAAGATTTTAGAATTCCTTCCCAGCAAGGATGAAATGTTTATTCCCAACCTGGCATCCAAGTGATGTTATCTGTATGTGGGGTGTGGCTTTTCTTTGGATTAAAAAACAATTTAGATTATCTGTTTTGGCTGGAAATTATTGATTTAGTTCTGTTAATTAAAAAATACTGTGTAATCTGTGCCTCAGACTTGAAATCATCATCTTAATTAGCACACTAGGTGACATCACAAATTCATCAGATGATAGTGAGCTCTGCCATGTCTTAAAAGGATGGAATACTTAGAATGAAAAAAAAAAATCCTAACAAAACTAAACAGCTGAAAACCAGGGGGTTTGAAGTGTTGAAATTCTTTAATAGATTTTAAGAACAGCAGCTGCCTAACTCTGCCCTGACAGCACAGTTACCTTACAACCACAGAAAAGTGGCAGATAAAACATTTCATTATGGTTTGAATCAGGGCAAATTTGATACCAAATTATCAACCCACAACCCTAAGGATGTGAATTACTGCAGCTTGAGCTAACTGGTAAATGGTTTTTTATGTCCCAGCGCTGCTCACCTCATACATGATTGTGTTCAGATTCTGCTGCCCAGAGCTCTGCTTGGTTTTGCCACTCTCTTTACGCTGCTGCTTGAGATCAGTAAGTAACTGGTACACCTAAAGATAAAAAAATAAAGTGGTTTAGAGCACCTGAGAGCATTTTACCTACAAATATTACAGCAGGAAATCATAAATGAACACGAAAAATCCTATCAGACAAAAAACAATAAATGTGTGGCTGTTCTGGTGGATGGACCAACAAATGCAATGAGAAATGTTTTGGCCCCAGAGTGATGAATAAGGATGTAAATAGTTTTTTTTAAAAGCTCTGACTATTTTAAAGACATGAATGGAACTTTTTCAGGTGTTTTGCTTCAGGCTTTGCAGTATATCCAGAGTCAACACCCAGAGCAAAGCAACAGAGCACTTCTCCCTGTTCATCCCCTCATTTTTACCTGGCTTCACTCAAGATCCAGCCCAGGGAATTACAAACTGACAGGTCCAGAGAAATAAGAAACCAAACATTTCCAGACAGTGAGAAATATGAACATAATCAGTTACAAACTCTCCATTACTTCACACTTCCATGGAGAAGGAACACTTGCTGATGCTGAAATCTCAAACTAAGGCTGTGAGCTTTGACAACAAACACAAAAGGACAGCAAGCTCACAGGGATGTGCAGGGATGGAACTTGGTGTGCAAAGCATCCCCTGGATTTACAGAACGTTGGCTTTGCAGCAGAACTGCCACTGGGAAGAGGAGCAAATGGAAAGGGACCAGCAGTTGGAGGGAATCAGTACTTCAAAAAATCATATTTGCTATTTTTTTCACATGATTTCAACAGCCAGGCACTGAACACCAGTTTGGCTGACAGGGTATCCTCTATTTCTCAGAGGAAATTTAGCAGAGTTCTTCCCAGATGCCTCATCAACACTCACCAGGTGCCTGCTCTGCTGTGTGCAGACAGATGCAGCCCAGGATAAAACACTTCAAGATTAATTTCAGAATAGAATGAAACAGCTGCAATAAAAAGCAGCTTCAGCAATACAGTAACACATACAAAACCACTTGGGTTATTGAAACTGTTCCAAAAATTAAATTAATTGGTAAAGCAAAATATTTCCATTACCTGGCTTAAATTAAACCAACAAGGACATGACATTTCTTTCTACCCCCCCTTAAAATGAGAGAGGAAAAATACCCACTTCAGAATAATCTCAAGACCAAACAAACACTACAGTACCCATTACTAGCAAAACCATTTCCAAATCTTCTTTAAAAAGCTTTTTTTTTTTCTTGAAACCAAACCAAATGCAAGGAAGAGTAAATCCCCTGCGGGTTTTGCTGATTGCCACTGCCAGGTTTCAGCTTCCAAAGATGATACAAGGGACTGATGACAACTTGGAATTGCTGCTTTAAAAGCAGAATGAAGACAAACTTACCTCAAAGTTACTCAGCAATGCAGCATTTGCATCTTTTCTAAAAGGAAAAATGAAAAGAATTAATTATGTTCCAAATGAAACTGTTTGAAGCTTTTCTTTGCCCACTCACAGGCACTAAAAGAAGTTAAAAAGCCCCAAGACATCTTATTTTGGTGATTCTACAGGCGCCATCTCTGGAAAATATTTACCATGCTGTCAGTAAAATTGTGACATAAATATTGAGTATATTTTGCACAGTTTGCCCCATAAATCATAACACACTTGTACAACACACTCCTTTCACTCAGTCACCCCATTTTACTCACCCAATTTCACACACTCAAACCAAATTGCTTTGCTTCTTCCTTAGAAAAAATGCCTCAGATTTTATTCAAATAAAGAATGATGGGAAAAAGAATTCAGATTACAAGCACTGTTTTGTTTATCAGCCAAGAGCACCCTGAGTATTTTAGTACCATGGACACGTGTGTGTGCACAGACCCAAACAGGGCTTTATGTGTTTATGAGTGAAAAAATCACCAATTTATTGCATTTCCTCTTAATTTATTCTTCCCATCTTAATGTGCCTGTTCCTATATTAGAAGGGCAAGGCTGAGTTTCCCATTTTCCACTTCCTCAGTCCTCATTAAACAAGGATCCTTATCCAAGGCTGTCAGGGTGACTGCAGAGCATGCCTTTATTCCTCCTGGATTTTGTAAATTTATACATTTAAAGTATAAAAAGGGAGAAAACCTGCCCCAGAACATCCTCTATTCCCTCAACAACACATTCTGCTGAGCAGTCAGTAGCCACAACAACAGAAAGTTTCCACACAAAAGGAAAAAAAGGCCTTTCTCAGGTCTGTGCAGCAGCTTAGGAAAAAGCAAAAAAATAAAAACCAACAAAAAAGGTACAATGTGTTGTTAAGCACCGAGAACGGCCTGAATAGAACTGTCACGTTCATCACTTTCAAATGGTAAATGCATCCACAAACTTCCACAGGTTCTAGCATTGTTTTTAAATGAAAAGGACCTTCTAAAATACGCTGAGATGAACTTCAACTTCCATTTCGCTGACCCGAGTGAAACTTCAGCAAGTGAGCTCAGGCACGAATTAGTTTTTCATTCATGTTTTACAAACCACATATAGCTTTTGTTGGGAGGTAAATGCAAGTCTTCAGAATGTTTGCATTCAGCAGGGCCCTACAGAAATCCCGGCGGATCAAAGACATTCTATAGGGAGAATTACGTATGGAATTCTTCGGCTGAAAGAGGATGAAATAAACGCATGGCCATGCAAATGAGGCTGCGGAATCAAGGGTTAAGAATGAAATCATTTAAGACAAATGCTTTCCTTTTTCATTCCAATCCGCTTTGCCATTCAGAAAAATACTTTTTTTCCCACTTCTGCCAACGAGTCAGTCTCAAATCTTCAACAGCTCTGAAATATCAGAATTATAAACTGATTAACGTTTGCAATAGAAATAAAATTTCCTTCAGTCCTGACTCACAGCTACCAATTTTACAGTCAGGAAACAAGGAATTCTGAATAATGGATTCTAATGTGGATTTTTAACAGTCAGCTCAACACTTCACATAATTTTTATGTGATTAAGACTTAAGCAGAAAGGTAAAAATGTTAATGGTTAACACCAACAACAGAAACACTTTTTAGAGTCTTTAAATAGTTCATATTTGCCCAAATTTTAGTCTAAACCAAAATACTCTTGAGTAGGGCTGCATATATCAAAAATATCTTAGTACAGGGCATTACACCTTTACAAATATCACTGATATTTTCAAGTCTGCTGCTTCACACATGTATATTTAAACCACACAGTTTTCTGAGAGTTCTTTTCTTTAATAACAGATAATTCTGGTAAGAAATGCAGAATAATTCTGGTAAGAAAAATCCATAGTAAGAACTTGGAGAGTTGCAAAGCTTCCCTTCCAAATCAGGCAGGAGGCAAAAGAAGATTAATAAAAATTCAGTGGATGTGTAAGAAGGATCACAGATTTTTTAATTGATGGTATCAAAAGCATTTTTCTCAGTGTACAACAGCCAGAACAGCTCATTTCTCTGCAGGCTGCAGTATTAAGACTGTCATACAAAAACCTGTACTCAGCAAATGTTTCATATTTTTTATCAACTTTTGCTTTGGATTACAGGGCTGCAGGAGCTCAGTGACTTTGAGCGTCCATAAATGTCCCCACCCATTAGAGAAATTAAAATTAAATGAAAACTAGAAATTTAACCAGCCTCACAGAATTTGTGAAATTTTAAGCTTCAAAACAGGTCAAATCCTATAGTTTTGTGCCCAAAACACAAGGTAAGAAGGCCTGAAAGAGCCACCAGCCAAAATTCTGCCTCTCTTATTGTGTTTGCAATCGCTGCCACAAACCCCGCAGGTTTTTTCCTTCTCCAGCCTTTCCAGCTCCTACACAAAGCTCATTAGAATAATGAAAAATCCCCATTTTACCTCTCGCAGGGCAGAGGGAGCGGGAGGGGACAGAAGGTGACAAGAGCGAGATTCAGGCCGAGCCACGCTGCCTTTCACCCCAACAGCCTGTCCGGCAGGAGTTTTAATAAAATAAACTCCTCCGACATTGAGCAGAATGCCTGAACTCACTGCTGGGTGCAACAAACCCCTCACGGATTTATTATACCCTCACACCCCTCACGATTCACTGTACCCTCACACCCCTCACGATTCACTGTACCCTCACACCCCTCACGATTCACTGTACCCTCACACACTCACGGATTCATTGCACCCTCACACCCCTCACGCACAGGACGACATGGATGTTCCCCCCCACACACCCCCCACGCCCACAGAGATGCACGCACACACCCCATAGAGATTTTCCCCACACGAACCCCGCTGAGATGCCCTGCAGCCCCGCTGTGGCCACGGCAGAGCGGCTCCGAGGCCCGGCCGTGCCCTCTGCTCCCCCCTCAGGCCCTTCCTTACACCTCCATCTTGTCCTCCCCGGCGCGGCCTCCCCGAGGATCCTCCCGCTACAACCGGGCAGCCGCAGCCCGGCGGGGCACGGCGGGGGAGCAGCGGCTCGAGGCTCAGTAGAGCTGAAGGAGGATTTGGCGGCCGCGACGGAAGCGGAAAAGGAAGGAGAAATAAGGAACTCAAAAAAAAAAAAAACGAACCCGGGCCTCCCGCGTGGCAGGCGAGAATTCTACCACTGAACCACCAATGCCTGTGATGACGAGTGTTTTTTCATCGCAGCCTTTGTGCGTATGTTAGAAAAAAAAGGATGTAATTTTTCTCTGAGATCGCCCAGATCGGCAATTAGCCGCTATTAACTGTGACAAAGGCAAAATAGTATAGCGAAAGTACTTTCAAATCAAATCTTTAACCATGTGCGGAGTGCTGCGAGGCTGAGGTAGTTGTGTAATACTCCTGTTGTCCTTTAAAGCGCCCGTCCATGCACCCATCGAATTCATCAGCTCCGTGTCTTCCCCAGCTGTCACCGTGACTCTTTCCCATCTAAACCACGTGCTATTCAATTTTCCAGGAGCTCTTTTCATCCTCAGTAAAACCAGTGACACTTCAATGAGTGCAAACAGCTGAAAATCCAAATGGAAACAGCAGGGAAAATTACCTGGCCAGGGAAATATTAATTCCTTAATTTTGACTTTATCTCTCAGGGAAAATTTCATATGCAGACACAGCACCTCTAACTCCCTAAGGAGTTAGAGATGTATTTGCTTGCTTGCAGCTGGGATTTAAGATCCTTTTAGGGATTTAAGGAACTGAATGGGTCAGGCTTGTGCCCACAACCTCTGCCTTGCAATTCCAGCACAAAACCCACCAGCCACTGTTTTCCCTATGACCAAACCAGACAAAATTAAGCCTTTTCTTCTCCTTGGGGTGTTGCAAATCCTAAACCAATTCAGAGTAACACGAGCAAACTGCAGTGCTTTAGGAACAATCTCCAGTGCCAGGACAGCGGGCAAGGAGCAGCTCCCAGTTTTCCAGAAACTTCCATCACCAGATATTAGAGATGTATTTGCTTGCTTGCAGCTGGGATTTAAGATCCTTTTAGGGATTTAGGGAACTGAATGGGTCAGGCTTGTGCCCACAACCTCTGCCTTGCAATTCCAGCACAAAACCCACCAGCCACTGTTTTCCCTATGACCAAACCAGACAAAATTAAGCCTTTTCTTCTCCTTGGGGTTTTGCAAATCCTAGACCAATTCAGAGTGCTTTAGGAACAATCTCCAGTGCCAGGACAGCGGGCAAGGAGCAGCTCCCAGTTTTCCAGAAACTTCCATCACCAGATATAGAAGTGCTGGGCAAAATTTAAAAGCCAATTGCAAAGGCTTTTCGGCCCTTTTAATTTGAAAACCCTTAAAAAAAGTTTTGGTGGGCATGTGCACCCCATCACACACATACAGAAATTTATTTATACGTCAAAATAATTTATTGTGGAGTCCTGTGGAATAAAAAAAAAGCCAGGAGAGAGCTGCTGGTGTGACTCAGAGCACAGGATGGGATGGATGCTGCCCTTTTTCATGTCAGGATTAACTGGCCTTGTAAATTGGCCAAAACTGGCACAGCAAAGCTCTGTGACTGCTCTGCCTGAAAGAAGGGAAAGGATGGCAGGTTTCATGTGAAAACAGTGCATTTCCAGACAATCAAATTTCAGTGTTTCATTCCATAAATCTGCTAATCCTTGTCTGCCTCTCACCACTCTCTTCAGCTAAGGGTTCAGAACCTTCAGCACAATAATCCTAATCCATTACATCTCTTTATATCTCTCCCCCAGCAGCAAATTATTATATTTATTTCCACCCTCTCCCCAAAATTTTACTTTCCTGACACCTTTTTTTTCCCCAAAATTTCACTTTCTTGGCACCTTTTCCACCATTTCCTCAAAATTTTACTTTCCTGGCACATTTCTTTTCCCAAAATTTCACTTTCTTGACACATTTTTTTTCCCAAAATTTCACTTTCCTGGCACATTTTCCACCATTTCCCCAAAATTTCACTTTCCTGACACATTTCTTTCCTCAAAATTTTGCTTTCCTGATATTTTTTCCACCCTTTCCCCAAAATTTTGCTTTCCTGACATGTTTTTTCCACCCTTTCCCCAAAATTTCACTTTCCACGCACATTTTTTACATCCTTTCCCTAAAATTTCACTTTCCTGATATGTTTTTTTTTTTTTTGTTGCGTTTTACATTCAAAAATTAGTTAAAAACAAAGTTGGGGGTTTTTGAACAAAAATATGTCAGCAGGGCTCCGTGTTAGCCAAGCTGAGGGTGCGTTTGCACGGCACGTTCAGATCATGGATCTGTTTTCTTTCTCCAAAGCAAAAAGACAGCTAAAATAGGATGTTTTTAAAAGAAGGTGCACTGTAGCTGTTTCTGCCATCCTTTTCCTTCACAGTCCTGTTGTGAAAAGTGGAGTTCCAGAGCCACCAAAGCTCCTTTGGAGCTGCACTCCCTCAGCACTGCCCATTTCCAGCAAAAAAGTGAAATAGTAGAGAGAGACTGATTGATTACAGAAGTAATAAAGTTCAGATATTTGAGAATATGCAAATGTACTTAATTAAACTTCTCTGTGCTGCAGAATTGGCAATTTACTCTCCAGTACTTATTTTCACCTCCAAAAGGGTGGAGCTGGGAATACTGATGTAGGACTGATTTGCCATCCCCTGTGCCAGAAAGGAAAAGAAGTGGGAGACTTTTCCTTCAGAACTTCCCCGGTATTAACTGTGGGATGAGGATTTTGAAGTTAATCTTTCTGTTTCAAATAAATCACTGGGAGGCCATGAGGGGAAGTGGAGAAACCCAAACCAGAACAAATGGAGAAGACAGTAATGAGAATGCACTTCAGTATGCATTAGGAAGTATATTTTGCATTGCTATTTTACTGTTTTCCCCTCAAAAAAGTTCAACTCTCCAGCTCCAAGCATCTTTAAGAAATCCTATTTCTTCAATGTTCATTTTTAAGTTGAGGAATTCTGCTTGCATTTTGTTTTACTTCCACTCTCGTTATAAAAATATTAATCTACATCCTACATTGATTATTATAGAGAAAACATAGTTATTGCCTGTTTAAGCTAAAAAAAAAGAGAGAATTCATCATTTCCTAGATACACACTGGGGCAGGAGCTGAGCAGAGCACTCCAAGCCAACTAATCCCTGGGAAGTTTGCTAAATCCACAGTGGCATTGCTGACAGACCCCATGTGGATGGAATATCCCCTGTCACATGTAATATCAGACACGGGCTAGCAAAATCTTATTTACACCCATTCACTCCAGTTATAAACCCAGTGCTTAATGTTTTCACAACACATTGGCAATCTCCTGACAAAGCCCAGTGTGAGGGCAAGGACACTTTGAAAAGGTGAAGAAGACAAGAAAGGTGGTAAAAATGAGGGATTTCACAAGAGGAAACAGGACTGCAAAAGAATTGAGAACTGTTTCAGTTTCCCAGTGGAAAAAGGAAAAGGGGATAAGTTGTAGAACAGAGAGAACAGTAGAAAAAGAACAAGAGGGTCAGTTTAAGGGAGGAAAATCCAACAAAAACGTGGATGAGAAAGCTGGAATAGGTCTCCTGATCTCTGTGAGAGGTTTGGACAATGTACATGGAGAAATAATGCACTGCAGGAGCTCACTTGGAGAAAGCAGCAAATATTCAGCTTTCTGTGGAGGGGCTGCAGAAAATGCTCTGTCTGAGGAGCTCGTGAGAACATCGTGCTGAGCCACAGCTTTGCTGCTCTAAAAGGTCCCTTGTGCTTTCCATCAGTCACTTCATTCCATGATATTCAGGGTGTGATGAGTTTAAGACAGAAGTTATTGCCACAAATACAACTCCAAGCCCCACAGCCACTGCCCGAGGCTCTCAGGTGACCCCACAACCTGGCGACAGCAGGGGGGCCCCAAATGGGGCTGCAGCATCTTTGCAGGTGGGGTGAACACTTTCATCAATGCAGAGATGGGAAACAACAAGAGGCTCCCATCTATTTTTTGTTTTTGCCGGGGTAGCAATGTGCACAGATCGCTGGATCAGTTCTGTTTATATTAAAGATTGTTCATTAGAGGGCTGTGACACAGAGACACGCCATACTGCCGGAAAAGCATTCCAAGGGTGTTCCTGACCTGTCCACAGCGCAGCAGCCACGCCGGCTGAGAGGCATCACTCGAGCATCCCTCCCAAGCCTCCCTGTCCAAAGCATCCCTATCCCCGAGCCGCAGCGCAGGGGTGGGAAGGGACACGGGGGACACGGGGGGGACCCGAGCGGGGCCGGGCCCGGGCACACCCCGCCCCGGCGGGGCGGGCCGAGCCGCCAGCCCCGAGCCGAGGGCTGTAAAAGCGGGGCAGCGGGGCCGGGGAGCAGCGAGCCACGGAGCGGCCGGGGCAGCGTGCGGAGCAGGTGAGCGGTGCCCGGGGAACCAGGAGCGCACCGGGAGCGGGCACGGAGTCATGCCCGGGGAACCGGGAGCGCACCGGGAGCAGTTCCCCGGGAACAGGGAGCGCACCGGGAGCGATGCACGGGGAACAGGGAGCGCCCGGGAGCGGTGCCCAGAGAATCCGGAGCGCACCGGGAGCGGGCACGGAGTCATGCCCGGGGAACCGGGAGCAGTTCCCTGGGAACAGGGAGCGCACCGGGAGCGATGCACGGGGAACAGGGAGCGCCCGGGAGCGGTGCCCAGAGAATCCGGAGCGCACCGGGAGCGGTGCCCAGAGGACTGGGAGTGCACCGGGAGTGGGGCAGGGAGCGGTGCCCAGAGAATCGGGAGCACACCGGGAGCGATGTCCGGGGACTTGGGAGTGCATCTAGAACGATGCCCAAGGAACTGGGAGTGCACTGGGAGCGCAGCAGGGAATGATGCCCGGAGAACCGGGAGCGGGGCAGGGAGTGATGCCCGGAGAATAGGGAGCGCACCGGGAAGGGTGTCCGGGGAACCGGGAGCGCACCGGGAGGAGTGTCCGGGGAACCGGGAGCGCACCGGGAGGAGTGTCCGGGGAACCGGGAGCGCGCACGGCGGCAGCTGAGCATCTCCGCGCTGTCCCGCAGGTTGCACCAAGTGCCAAGATCGCTGCACAAACGAGCAAAACGTCGTCCGAAATGGCAGCCGAG